ACCGCAATCCCTTCTCCTCCATTCTCCTTTTGGGATCTTGGGCACGCACGCACACGTGCTTGGCGTGAGTTTAAGTCACCTGGTCCGGGACTCAACCCGCAGTCTACTACATGGGAGTTCAGCAACATAGCCACTATGTTAACTGCTGGTCCCAAGATGGTTCTTACCTGTACTGATTTCCAGACTGTAGTCTGGGCCAGAGCCCCGGAATCTGCAGGCTGAACAAGTGCCCCCAGGTAATTCTTGTGACCCAGCAAACTTTGGAAATTATGTGCACTTGGAAATTGGGTTAGAATGGGTAGAATGGAGCTAGCCTTGAAGATCCCTGCCAGAGTGAACCTGGGAGTTACTGAGGCAGGAGGGCTTGTTCAAAATGCAAGCTCCCAGGCCTTTCTCAGAAAAATCCCATTCAGTAAGTCTATGGGGATTCGATGGGATTTGGGAATCTGTTTTTATTTTTTTAAGGTTTTTGCCATAAAGTGTGTGTGCTCGCTGGAGAGAGACAGAAAGAGGGAACTCACCCCCGGGGGGTTGGCCATGCCCAAATCCCTTTTCCTCCATTTTTTTTTAGGATTTGGGGAACGCATACACATTCATGCCTGACATGATTTCCTTTCTCTGTCTTTCTTTAACAATTTTTTAAAAAGAATTATTTTATATAACTTTATTTATTTATTTTAATTTGACCACAGTGGGACAGAGCATGAGAGAGTGAAAGCGAGAGGGAAAATGAGAAAGCAAGCAGCCATGTCTGGGACTTAAACCGTTGTCAGCCCATTGTGAGTCCAGTGCCCCTAACCAGCACGCTACCTGCTGGCCCCAGCCTGGCATGATTTTCAAGATGTCGGGTCTGGGACTTGAGCTGTGGTTGGCCATGTGGGATCCAGTCCCTTAACCACCATGCTACCTCTTGGCCTCCTCCTTTTTTTTTTTTTGAGAGGTTTTTGCTATAGGGCATGTGCACTCACCAGAAAGACAGAGACAGAGAGACGGAAAGCGAGAAATCACCCCCTGAGGGGGTGGCCACGCTACAATCCCTTCTCCTCCATTCTCCTCTCGGGATCTTGGGCACGCACACACATGCCTGGTATGAGTTTAATCCACTGGGTCCGGGACTCGAACCGCGGTTGACTACATGGGAGTCCAGAGACATAGCCATTACGCTAACTGCTGGTCCTCCATTTTTTTAAAAAATATTGTTTTCTTTCTTTATGATAGAGTATGAGCATGTGCACAGAAGAGAGAGAGTGAGAGAGACAAGTACTTTCTACAGGATCTGGACACACTATGATCTCCCTCCTCTGGTTCTCCAGCTCATGTGGGCATGTGTGTGCACACACATACATGCCAGCATGGTTTTTAGGCTGATCAACCAGGAATTTGAACTGAGGTTGCCATGTGGGATCCAACTTCTCTTCTGTGCTATGGAGCCAACCCAGAAATCTGTACATTTATATACACACATATACACACACACATAATATATATATATTTTTTTCTTTATTTTTTTTTGCACTTGCTAGAGGGGTGTGTGTGCCCCAGAGAGGGAGGGAGGGATAGAGAGAGAGTAAGAAAGCACCACCCAGGAGGGATGGTTGCCCTGCAGTTCCTTCCCTTTCACCTCTCCTCAGTGCAGAATTTTGGGCCCTTGCCTGGTGTGTTTTGCAAGCCACTGGGTCTGGGATGCAAACCGTGCAGTTGTCCATGTGGGGTCTAGCTGCCCCGACCACCATACCACTGGCTGGCCTCAACTCTGTATTTTTAACAAGCCTCCCAGGTAATTGTAATGCAGACAGCTCTGAGCATACTCTGAGAAACCCCCAAATGAAAGGACTTTGAATGGAGGAAGTATCTTAGCTAGTGGCCTTTAAGCTTTGTAGTCATAAGCAAAGTTGTCTTTTGAGTTTAGGGTTTAGTAATAGAGTTGGGACTTGACAAGAGTGGTAAAGGTAGGATTCATTTGCTATAGGCATTTGAGAGAAATGAGTAAAATATCATGGGGCTGGCCCTGTAGTGCAGTGGTTAGGTGCTGTTTATGGGAGGCTGATACCCAATGGCTAACTGTATGAATCCTGGTTGTGGAGGCTTGAGAAATGCAGGGCGCACATGCAGGTATGTCCCAAATCCTGAGCAGAGGGAGAAATGGAGGAAAGAGGATTGTGGCATGACCACACCCCATTGTGTCCATTCTGTCTCTCTCATGAGTGCACACGCCCTCTGGCATTAAAAAATGTATAAGTAGCCGTCCTGTTGATAGATGGTGAGGATTTGCAGAGGGCTCATGGTTTATACCACACACTTGTTCAGCATGATACTGTGTAGATGGAATAGCAGTCCGTCTAAAACTGTACTCAAGAATCAGAGCTATCTGGCTCTTACTATAATTTTCTTATAACCAGAGGTGACATTCTCTACTGAGCTTCTGTGCTTTATGATTATGCATAAAGAAATGCAGTATCTTAGGGCCAGGTGTTGGTATGATGGTAACTTAGCTGGACCCACACAGGAAAGGTCCTGGGCTTGAGTCCCAGGAACACTCTGAATGTATATGTGCCCATGGTCTGGACTGGCTGAGTCCAGGGTGGATCATAGTGTGAACACACTATTGGTGCCTGTCTCTGTTTCTCTCTCTCAGAATAAATAAATATAACAAACAAAATCCCATGATTTCTGTTTAAAAAAAAAAAGAAATGCGGTATCTATACATCTGTTTTTTGGGGGGTGGGGTGACTGGACAAAGCACACCTCTATATAAAATGATAAGAGAAAACACTGACTTTGTGAAGTATTAATTGTATGCTGAGTATGGGACCAGCAGATGGCGTAATGGTCACGTCACTGGACTCCCATGTAGTTGACTGCGGTTTAAGTCCTGGACCTGGTGCCTTAAACTCATGCCAGTCACGTGTGCGTGCGTGCCCAAGATCCCAAGAGGAGAATGGAGAAGGGATTGCGGTGTGACCATCCCCCCTGGGGGGTGATTTCTCGCTTTCTGTCTCTATGTCTCTCTCTGTCTGTCTGGCGAGCGCACATGCCCTATAGCAAAAACCTCTCCAAAATAAATAAATAAATAAATAGTATGCTGAGCGAAGATAATAGGTACATTTCTCTGTTTGCCAATCACTGGCTTTCAGGATTGCCTTATTTGTAATTGCAGGTGGCCAGGGAGTTATAATTCTTTTTAGTTTATTCATTTAAACCTTTATTGAGTAAGTACTTTGTGTCAGGTATTATTGTGGAAGCTACTGAGATGGATAAAATGTGTGAGGGCAACCCATGTAAGTTTCTGAAGGCAGCTTTTTAAAAAAATTTTTAATTAATATTTTGGATTATGACCACTACCTTACTCATCAGTCTTTCTATGGACAAATCCTTCAGGAAATTGTGCTGTGATCCCCAGTACACTGTATGGTGATATATAATTCAGTTAAGAACTTACGTCCTGAACGGTGTAGGGGCAAACTGTCTAGCATAACAGTTAGGATTTTAGACTTTGGTGCCACAAGAACTGTGATCAAATCTGGGATAGAAGTTTATCTTCTATGTGTTCTTAGGCAAATGGCTTAACCTTCTGTCCCTAGGTTTCCTCATCTGTAAAGCGGGGAAGAGAAGTAATACTTACGTCTGTGGGTCGTTATGGGGATTAAATTGGAAGATGTATGAAAGGTGTTAATATAATACCCAGTACAAAGTAAATGCTCAACTAATGTTAGCTATTTTTTTTTAAGGTTTTTGCCATAGGACAAGTGGGCTTGATGGAGAGAGAGAGAGACAGAGACAGTGAGAGGAAAAGTGAGAAATCACCCCCTAATGGCTAAGGCCATGCTGCAACCTCTTCTCCTCCATTATTCTCCAGGAATTTTGGGCATGCACACATGGGTTCAGAGTGATTTTTAAGCCGCCAGATCCAGGACTTGAACTGTAGGCAGATACGTGTGAGTCCAGTATCTTAAACACCATGCCACCCACTGGCTGCAATGTTAACCATTAAATTTTTTTTTTTTTAATAATCAAGAACAGGATAAAGTGCGGGACCAGCAGTTAGCTTAATGGCTATGTCACTGGACTCCGACGTAGTCGACTGTGGTTCGAGTCTCGGACCCAGTGGCTTAAAACTCAAGCCGGGCACGTGTGCGCGTGTGCCCAAAATCCTGAGAGGAGAATGGAGGAGAAAGGATTGTGGCGTGGACATCCCCCCGGGGGGTGATTTCTCACTTTCTGTCTCTCTGTCTCTCTCTGTCTTTCTGGCGAGGACATGTGCCCTATAGCAAAAACCTCTCCAAAGAAAAGAACAAGATAAAGTGGAAGATAAGGTTCATAGTGTAATTAAATGATGATACTTATGTTGCTGGTGCTAAACACAATGCTTTTCCAGAGAGACAAAGAAAGAGCGAAAGAAAGTGAGAAATTACCCCCTCGCCCCTCCACTCCTCAGGAGGATGGCCATACCACACTCCCTTCTCTTCTACTCTCCTCTTGGGATTTTGGGCATGCACACACATGTGACTGACATGCGTTTCAAGCCACCAGGTCTGGGACTTGAACTGCAGTCATCCCAATGCCTTAACCACTGCACCACCTGCTGGCCCCAATGTTAGCCATTACAATTTTTTTTTTTTAATCATCTGGGGAACAAGATAAAGTTAAGTTGAAGGTATTTTCTTTCTTTTCTTTTCTTTTCTTTTTTTTTTTTTATTAGAGAGAGAGATTTTTTTGCTATAGGGTGTGTGCACGCTCCAGAGAGACAGAGACAGACAGACGGAAAGCAAGAAATTACCCCCAGGGAGGATGGCCATGCTGCATTCCCTTCTCCATTCTCCTCTTGGGGTCTTGGGTACACACGCACACGTGCCTGGCATGAGTTTTACGACTCTGGGTCTGGGACTTGAACTGCGGTTGACTACATGAGAGGCCAGTGATGTAACCATTATGCCATCTGCTGGTCCCAGTTGAAAATATCTTCTATAATGTAATTAAATGATGATATTTCTGTGTTGCAGGTGCTAAACACAATGATTTTCTGGAATCGAAGGGATGCTTTGCTCATACACCTTCTGGCAGAAGAGTCAGTCCCTCATCTTCTGTTGAAACAGATCTGGATATCCGTGAGCCTTCAGGCCTCCCCGGAATGTCTCCTCAAATGGAGTAAGTGAGGGTCTGGTGCAGAGCTCTCACTGTTGGGGTAAATTCTGACCTGGAAGCCAGCAGTCGGAGGGGTAGCGTGAGAGCTAAACAGTCAGCGCGCAGACCCCAGCTCTGCCTCCTAGTAGCTATGAGAACTGGAGCAAATTACTTCATGTTCCTTGGTTTTCTTATCTGTAAATGGTGGTAAAACTTCATGGGACTAGGCCAGAAGGTCGTGTAGTGGTTAAGGCACTGGATTTCCACATTGCTGACTGTGATTCAAATCCCAGACCTGATGGCTTGCTTTCTCACTTTCCCTCTCTTTCTTTCTCTGGTGAGTACATGTGCCCCATAGCAAATTTAATAATAATAATAATAATAAAACTTATTTTAAAAAACTTAATAAAGCATACTTTATGACACTGTTATGAGGATTAAATGAATCATTACATGTAAAGAGATTAGATTTCAGGGCCGGTATATGGTGCAGTAGTTGAGGTGCTGGACTCCCACATGTTCAACTATGGTTCAAATTCCAGACCTGGCAGCTTGCTTTTTCACTTTCCCTTTCTCTCTCTCTCTCTGATCAAATTAATAATAATAATAACAAAAAATAAATAATTAAAAAAGAGATTAGATTTCTTGGCATATAATAAGTGATAAATTAGTGCTTGGTATTGTGGAATTCAAAAATGGGTAAAATTAACCTATATGTTTTTGGAATACATATATGCATACATAACTGGTAAAACTTAATCACAGAAATGACTATCCTAAGAGTCATACTGGGGCTGGCAGGTGGCATGGTGGTTAAAGGTGCTGGACTTCCACATGGCTGGCTGTGTTCGAGTGCTGGACCTGGTGATCTGCTTTCTTGTTTTCTCTCTCTCATACTCTGTCCCTCTCTGGTCAAATTAGAATAAATAAATAAAGTTAAATGAAAATAATTCTTTTTCTTTTTTGTTAAAGTCATAGTTAAGACTGTGGTTTCTTCTGGAAAGAAACACACAGAAATTTCTGAGGCACGGGGGAGGGGCAGGCTGGCAGTATTTTGTTTCTTAACATGGACTTTGGCTTTATAATTATTTGTCAAACTGTATTTATGTAATATGTACTTTTCTTTATTTGCTTCTGTTTTTTTTTTTTCCTCTTAGTTTTCTATAGGGCGTGTGCACTTATGAGAGACAGGGAGAGAGAGAAGTTAGAAATCACTCCCTAGGGGTGATGGCCGCCCAGCAACCCCCTTGTCCATTCTTCTTTTGTATGGACTTTGGCTTTATAATTATTTGTCAAACTGTATTTATGTAATATGTACTTTTCTTTATTTGCTTCTGTTTTTTTTTTTTCCTCTTAGTTTTCTATAGGGCGTGTGCACTTATGAGAGACAGGGAGAGAGAGAAGTTAGAAATCACTCCCTAGGGGTGATGGCCGCCCAGCAACCCCCTTGTCCATTCTTATTTTGTAATTTGGGGCACACATGCACACACCCTGGTGTGTTTTGCAAGCTGACTCAGAACACGCAGTTGGGTTTGTAGGATCCAGCGCCCTAACCACCATGCCACCTTCTGGCCCCATACTATGTGCTTTTCTCTGTGGACGATTCAGTGACATTAATCGCACTTATGATGTTGTGAAACCATCACCACTATCTATTTTGAAAACATTCTTATCACTCCAGCAGAAACTCCACCCTCCAGTCTTCCCTCACTTCAGCCCCTGGTAACCTCTAATGTACTTTCTGTCTCCGCCACCTATCCGAGGTGTGTGTATATATATATGTGTGTGTGTGTGTATGTGTGTGTGCGTGTGTATAAAATATAAGTAGAATCATACAATATTTGTACCTTTGTTTCTGGCTGATTTCACTTAATGTAATGTTTTAGGGTTCCCTGTTGCAGCCAAATAATATACATTGTGTGTCTAATACCATATTTTGTTTATCCATTCATCTATCAATGGACACTTGGTTTTTTTCCAGTTACTATTATGAATAATGCTGCAACAAACATTCACATACAAAAATTTGTTCACATCTCTTTTTTCAGTTTGTTCGTGTCTATACCTAGAAGTAGAATTGTTGGGTCATATGCTAATTCTATGTTTAACTTTTTGAGGACCACTGTTTTTTTTTGTTTGTTTTTTTTTTTGAGAGATTTTAGTTATAGGGCATGTGTGTTCACCAGAGAGACAGAGAGAGACAGAAAGCAAGAAAGCAAGAAAGCAAGAAAGCAAGAAATCACCCCCTAGGGGATGTAGCCACGCTGCATCCCTTCTCCTCCATTCTGCTTTCGGGATTTTGGCACTTGTGCATGCACACGTGCCTGGTGTGAGTGTCAAGCCACCGAGTCCAGGACTCAAACTGTGGTTGACCACATGCTTTAACTTCTATGCCACCTGCTGGCCCCACACTGAAATATTTCTAAACATGCATCTTTTGAGTATGGTTCAGGCTTCTCAAATTGTGAATAAATAAGTGATATGCTCAAGGACCTTTTTGTTCTTTTTTAGTTTTGTTATAAGGCACATGTGCTCCCTGGAGAAAGAGAGAAAGAATGAAAAAGCACCCCACGGGGGGATGGCCATGCTGCAGTCCTTTCTCCTCCATTTTCTTCTTGAGATTTTGGGTACACACAATCCACCTGGTGTTTTTGTTTTTGTTTTTGATCGTTTTTTTTTTTTTTTTTTTTTTTTGCATGTGCACTTGCCAGAAAGGCAGAGAGAGACAGAGAGACAGAAAGCAAAAAGTCACTGGGACCAGCGGGTGACGTGGTGGTTAGGGCACTGGATGCTCCCACATGGCTGACCACGGTTCAAAACTTGGACCTGGTGGCTTGCTTTCTCACCTTCTTTCTCTCTCTGTGTGTGTCTCTCTGGTCAAATTTTAAAAAATGAATTAATGAATAAATACAATTTTTAAAAAAGAAATAGTTATAAAAAAAAAAAGTAAGTGAGAAGTCACCTCCTGGGCAGGATGGCCATGCCACAGTCGCTTCTCCTCTCAGGATCTTGGGCATGCACACACACGTGCCCAGCGTGAGTTTAAGCTACCAGGTCCGAGACTCAAACCATGATCGACTAACATGGGAGTCCAATGACATAGCCATTACGCCATCTGCTGGTCCCCCACCAGGTGTGTTTTTCAAGTCTCTGTGTGGGGCTTCTAATTGCACAGTTGGTCATGTGGAATCCAGATGTCTTAATAACCATACTACTGGCTGGCCCAACTTAGGGACTTTTTATAGAGTAGTTGTCTCAGTTTTCATAAATGAGGGCAATTTTAGTGTAAGATCAGGCTCTAACTACTACTTAATATTTTTTGAGATATTTTTGTTATAGAGTGCATGCATGTGCCGGAGAGACAGAGAAAGACAGAGAGATAGAAAGTAAGAAATCACCCCCCAGGGTGGATGGCCATGCTGCAAACCCTTCTCCTCCATTCTCCTCTTGGGATTTTGGGCATGCATGTACACATGCTTGGCATGAGTTTAAACCACGGAGTCTGGGACCCAAACTGTGGTTGCCTATGTTGGAGTCCAGTGACATAACTATTATGTTATCTGCTGGTCTCTATTTGTCGTTGTTGTTGTTTAGAGAGATCTTTGCTACAGGGCACGTGCACTCACCAAAGAGACAGAGAGACAGAAAGCCAGGAATCCCCCCCCCCCCAGAGGGGCTGGCCATGCTGCAATCCCTTCTCTCCATTCTCCTCTCAGGATTTTGGGCATGCATGCACATGCGCCCTGTATAAGTTTTAAGCTATCGGGTCTGAGACTCAAACTGTGGTCGACTACATGGGAATCCAGCGATGTAACCATTACACCATCTGCTGGGCCCCTAACTGCTATTTTAAGCTCACAGAAGAACTGAATCCTTTTGGTGTCTTTCCAGCACTACTACGGATTTGGATCAGAAGTCCTCCTCCTCACATTCTGATCATACCTCTGAAATCTTATTGCCTGATGTCCAAAAGGAAAAATACCCTGAAGAATTCAGCCTGCTTAAGATGCAGACAAGTGAGTACATCACAGACCCTTCTCCACAAGCCTCTGCCAGGGTCCTTTCAGAAGTCTGCCATACCACTAGCCACAGTCAGTGAAGACCCACACATGCTAGGTACTTGGCACTCTTCATCTCTGATTCCCGCAACTCTGTTGAGGAGCTATTATCACATGTTTTTTGAAAATGACATATCTTTATATAAAGATGGTATACGTATTGGAGGCCAGTGGGTGGCATGGTGGTGAAGGCACTGGACTCCCACAGGGCAGACCATGGTTTGAGCCCTGGACCCAGAGGCTTGAAAATCACACCAGGTGCATGTGCATGTGCATGTGTGCCCCAGATCCCAGGAGGGGAATAGAGAAGAAAGGATTGCAGTATGGTCATCCTCCTGGAGGGCGATTTCTCACTTTCTCTCTCACTGTCTCTCCAGTGAGCACATGTGTCCTATGGCAAAATCCTAAAATACAAACAAACAATGGTACAAGTACTACAGCAAAATCTTAAAATAATATGGAAGTATAGAGAGTACACAATCCCTTCTCCAGTATTCCCCAGCATGTTCCCATTGTGTCTCAGAGCTGTGAGGATTGTTTTTAAAGTTTATTTATTTATTTTTGCCATAGGGTATGTACACTTGCTGAAGAGAAGCAGAGAGACAGTGAGAAGGAAAGTGAGAAATCATATCCAGGGGAATGGCCATGCCACAATCCATTCTCCTCCATCCTCTCAGGATGCTGGGCATGCACTCATACATGGCTGGCATGATTTTCAAGCTGCTGAATGGAGGACTCAAACTGTAGTATGCCATGTGGGAGTCCAGTGCCCTAACCATCATGCCACCTATTGGCCCCAGCTGTGACAATTTGATATATATTTTTCCATATTTTAAAAATATATTGTGCATGGGACCAGCAGGTGGCGTGGTGGTTATGGCGCTGGACACTCCCACATGGCTGACCACGGTTCAAGTTCCAGACGCGGGAGGACCACGGTTCAAGTCCCAGACCAGGTAGCCTGCTTTCTCACTTTCTCTCTCTCTCTCTCTCTTATACTCTCTCTCTCTGTGTCTCTCTCTGGTCAAATTAAAATAAAATGAATGAACAAAATTAAATAAAAATAATTCTTAAAAAATTAAAAAAATATATTGTGCATATGTGTATATAGTATATATGCATTTATATAAAATAAATGGTTTGTAGTATACAAGTTATTTTCACTCAACAGTAAATAGATCACAGACCTCTTTCTGGGTGAATTCATGCAGATCTGTGTGGCTAATATAGAGCTATCCAATTTTAGAGAAGGAAACTGAGTCTTGGAGAGAGTCATTCACCACATAGGTACACGTCGCCAGGAAGTAGAGTCTTGGGACTGGAATGTAAACTCGCCTGCCCCCGAAACCTGTGTTCTTTCTTTTCTATTCTTTCTTTCTTTCTTTTTTTTTGAGAGGGATTTTTGCTATGGGGCATATGTGTTTGCCAGAAACACAGAGAAAGAGAGACAGAAAGTGAGAAATCACTCCCCAGGAGGGATGGCCATGCCACAATCTCTTCTCCGTTCTCCTCTTGGAATTTTGAGCATGCACACACACATGCCTAGCATGAGTACTAGGACTGGTACTCCAACTGTGCATTTGACTATGTGGCGTCCAGCCACTCTAACCACCACGCCGTCAGCTGGCCCTCAAGTGTTTCTTAAGTAACTCTAGAACTGTCAGGGGTCTTTTATTGTTAAAAATCACCATTAGCCAATTTGCAGGAAAAGTATCAATTGATGAAACAGAGGCACCAAGAGTTCCAGTAACTAGCGTGAGGTGTCACAGCAGCTTTTCTCATTTAACATTATCACCTGTCTATTTTCCTGCATCACTGTAATGCGTATAGTGCCATTGTAGCTGCCGGCACTGTGCTCCATCCTCTTGAGATGTCATGGTTGGCCTAGCCAGTCTCTGGTTCATGGGCATTTCACGGGCATTCTATTTTTCCTCCAGTTACCAGAGTGAAGGGTGGGTTATCAGTGCTTGTAAGATTGTCTCTGAGCTTTCCGGCCCATATATAACTTCCAGACACAAAGTTGTCTTTATTTTTAAAGGAGAGGGTGAAAAGGAAGGGGTGGGGCAGAGAGGCTTTTCTAGCAGCTTTACCCCCACATCTCTTCCTTTTGTGCCTAGTCCCACAGAAGCTGACACCACCCCTGATGTAGAATCAAGGGATTGTACATGTTGATGAAAAATTGCTTAGCTGGGGCCAGCTGGTGGCATGGACCTCACCGGGCAATCTGTGTGGTTCAAATCCTGGACCCACCAGCTTGAGAAACACACTGGGTTTGTGGGCGTGCATGCCCAAATTTCCGAGATAAGAATGGAGAAGAGGTTGTGGCATAGCCATCCCTCCTAGGAGGTGCTTTCTCACTTTCCCTCTTTGTGTCTCTCCAGGAGTGCATGCACCCTGTAGCAAATTTAAAAAAAAAAGAAAGAAAGAAAGAAAGAAAGCAAAAAAAAAAAAAAAAAAAAAGGATTGCTCAGCCAGGTAGTGCCTGGAGAGTTTTCACAACATTATGTCATCAAAATGCATTATGAGGCTGGGCGATGTGCTAATCGCAGGATTTCTGATGTCTTGCAGAAGATGGACAGCGCCCTGAGTGGACGTTTTACCCAAGGTTCAGCAGCAATATCCACACCTACCACGTTGGAAAGCAGTGCTTCTTTAATGGGGTATTCCTGGGGAACCGGAGGTCTCTGTCAGAGAGGACGGTGGACAAGTGCTTTGGGAGAAAGAAATATGGTAACGTTGTGCTTCTGGTCCTTGACCGTGCGATGCCTGAACAGACTCAGGAATGATTCTACAGGCCCCACATTTCAGAGCTGGGGGGGCAACCCCGCAGGTCACTACATCACTGTAGTGCAGCCAGGGAAATAGGGAAATGAAGAGGATGATTGGCAGGCTACGTGTTTTGGCAAAGAACTTACAACATATGCAGATCCACATTTTCGTTTTTCTCTGAATTTCATGAAATGCTAATGTGACATTTAAGTCATCAGATAAGTTCTCTCAGATACTTATTAATAGAAACCCTCATCGAAGTCTGAAGAAAATAATCCATATTTCAATTGGATGCCGCCTGTCACGTGCTTTAAATTGTATTCTATATTCTCCACAGAAAAACATCTCATGTGCCTTAGCCTGAAGTGCATGTGGTTATTTTATAGCCTTATTTAACTAAAGGCAACTGAGCTGAGTATCTATATTTATACCTGTATCCATCTTTGGTTTGTAACTTGATGATTTCTTGTTCCCACCTAACCATAATGCATTTATTCAAAGGTCCTAAAAAGTGCTGAGTACCAATAGGCCATTCTGGTCCCATCTTCAATGGAAACCCTGTGTAGGAGGCAGCCATTGCTTCAGGGATGACTAGGACTGCCCCGTAATGGAAATACAACCAGATGGAAGTAGAAAGTTCTCACTTTTGGGCTTTAAAATAGACTGTTAAACTCTGTATAGACTGTAGTTTCGAGACCAGACTTCTAGCTATCTGGACAGAGAATACATGAAAAACCACGCTTGATGAACTACAAGAGTGGTTACTGGTGTGGGTATCTTTGAAGAGTTCCACACTCTGCTCTCCTGAGCTGCAAGTGTACATCAGAAAGAAATGGGGGGCCAGTGGATGGCATAGTGGTTATGTAGCTGGACTCCCACATGGTTGACCATGGTTTCAGTTCCAGACCCGGTGGTTTGAAACTCACGCCGGGCTTGTGTGTGTGCATGCCCAAGATCCTAGGAGGAGAATGGAGGAGAAAGGATTGTGGTGTGGCCATCTCCCCTAGAGGTGATTTCTCACTTTCCCTCTCACTGTCTCTCTCTCTCTCTCTGGTGAGCACATGCACCCTAAGGCAAAACCTCTACCAATGGGATGATTAGGGTTCTCCAAATCTTAACCCTAACCTACCACTTCCTTCATAACTCAAAAGTAGATATTGGGGTCAGCAGATGGGGTAATACTTATATTGTTGGACTCTCACACAGTCAACCATGGTTCGAGTCCTGGACCTGGTAGCCTAAAAGGCATGCCAGGTGTGTGTATATGTGCATGCCCAAAATCCTGAGAGGAAAATGGAGAAGTGATTGCAGCGTAGTCATCCTCTTTGAGGGGTGATTTCTCACTCTCTCGATCTTTCTCTGGTGAGTGCACGTACCCTTTGGCAAAAACATAAAAAAAAAAGTGACACATATATAAAATCTAAATTTTACCATTTCACTGTATTTAAGGATATTAATTACGGTCGTACCATTGTATGACCACCCATTATTTATAAAACTTTCCATCACTGTAAACAGAAGTAAGTAATGAATCCCTATTTCCCCCAACTTCTCATCACCTCTACTTTCTGTCTTTATGGATTTGCCTTGAATGGTTCAATTTTAATATGACTGTACATTTTAAATTTTTTCCACTGAGATGAAAAAATTTAATATGGTAAAAGTCTACTTTTGTCATTTAGGAGAACTAAAATATAGCATTGTGAATAGTGAAAAAAAAATTAAGAAAAAAACCTTTTCATTAGGTGAATTTTCAAATATGTCCGACTCATACCCAACAGGCTCTTAAGGCATGGATATCAATGCTTGATGCTACTTCACTGCATGGAAGCACTAATAAAAAGTTTAGACACAGTCTCAGCTATTGAACATGGTTTTTTGAGAGAAAAGTAAAGGGACCAGCAGTTAGCGTAATGGCTATGTCGCTGGACTCCCACGTAGTCGAACGCGGTTCGAGTCCTGGCCTGGGTAGCTTAAACTCACGCCAGGCATGTGTGCGTGCATGCCCAAGATCCCAAGAGGAGAATGGAAGAGAAGGAATTGTGGCGTGGCCATCCCCCCTGGGGAGTGATTTCTCGCCTTCTGTCTCTCTGTCTCTCTCTGTCTGGTGAGCGCATGCACCCTATAGTAAAAACCTCTCAAAAAAAAGAAAAAAAGAGAGAGAAAGGTAAAAAAAATTGAATACTGAGTACTCAGGAACTCCTACCTATTATGCAGGTGGCTTTTCAGAACTAGCTAGAGGGAAAATCGCTCTCTCTTTGCCTGGGTTCTTGTGGGTGTAGTTGAATTATTATTAAAAACAAGCCTTTAGAGACCAGCAATTGGTGTAATGGCTCTGTCGCTGGACTCCCACGTATTCAACTGTGATTCGAGTCCCGAATGTGGCTTAAATTCACGCCAGGCACGTGTGCATGAGTGCCCAAGATCCCGAGAGGAGAATGGAGGAGAAGGGATTGCAGCGTGGCCATCCCCCCGGGGGTGATTTCTTGCTTTCTGTCTCTCTGTCTCTCTGTGTCTTTCTAGCGAGTGCATGCGCCCTATAGCAAAAACCTCTCCCTCCCCCCCAAAAAAAATAAATAAACAAGGCTTTGAAGAGAGATGGAGAAAAAGGAGGCAAAAACAAACAAACAAAAACAACAATAAAAAACATGCTTGCAGCCAAGGATGCCCCTGCTTCTGGGCAGGGGGATTAGTTCACAGTTAGGCTGGTTAGTTCGCAGTCCTTGTTCTCTTAGGAGATGCCCTGGTGTCAGACATGTTCAAATGACTGCCCTGACTTCTCTCTTCCTTCCATGATTAGTTTCTTGTTCCCAGAGCCTTCAAAGAGACTGAGTTGGGGGCCAGTAGATGGCCTAAGTGGTTATATTGCTGGACTCCCTCCCACATGGCTGACTTGAGTTCTGGACCCAGTGGCTCGAAAATCACACTGAGCATGTGTGTGTGTGTGTGTGTGTGTGTGTGTGTGCCCAAGATCGAAGGAGGATAATGGAGGAGAAGGGATTGTGGTGTGTCCATTTTCCCCGGGGCAGGGTGTGTGTGTGTGTGTGTGTATGATTTCTCACTTTCCTTGTCATCGTCTCTGTCTGTCTCTTTCTCTGGCAAGTGCATGTGCCCTATGGCAAAAACCTCTAAAAAAAGAGAGAGAGAGATAGACTGAGTTGAATGTCAGAGCATCAGATGCTTAAGCAGAGCGACCTTTTCCTGACTGCTCGTCACCAGGAAGGCCATCTCTTTCTGCTGCACGCCCTGTCCTTGAAGTAGGAGGAGCAGGACACTCATTAGCTGGTTTCCTCCTGAGACCCAGCCAGAGAGGCAGAGCCCTAAGAATGGTTGCTTTTGGGCTTTCTAGGGCTCCGAGCCTCCAAGTGCACCAGTACACAGGAATGGAAGGTTTTTAAGGCAGTGCTCTGGTGGATCATCGCAGCTACTTCTAATTCACTGCGTGTTTGAAACCACAACTCTCCAACCTCCCTATTCTTTCCCAGGGTGGGGTAGTCATAACACCTTTTAGAAAACATCCCAAACGAAGGCCCACGCTTTCATCTTCATCTCTCTGAGGTGACATAGTCACAAACAGAAATTTAAGAAAATTTGATGTGGCCAGTGGGTGGTGTGATGACTAAGGCACTGGACTCCCCCATGGATGGCCATAGTTTAAATTCCGGACCCTGGCAGCTTGAAAATCAAACCAGGCATGTGTGCATGCGTGCCCAAAATGCTGAAGGGACAAATGGAGGAGAAGGGATGGTGGCATGGCCACCGCCACCAGGATGATTTCCCACTTTTCCTTTCTCTGTCCTCTCTCCGGTGAGCTCACATGCCTTATGGAGAAAACCTTAAAAAAAAATCAAAACAAAACAAAACAAAAAGAAACATTTGTATAATTCATATTAAAACACTACCATATCCTGGGACTAGCAGTTAGCATAATGGTTATATTGCTGGATTCCCATGTAGTCGACCGCGATTTGCGTCCCGGACCTGGAGTCTTTAAAAATCACGACAGGTGCGTGTGCGTGCGTACCCAAGATCCCGAGAGGAGAATGGAGGAGAAGGGATTGCGGGGTGGCCATCCCCCGGGGGGGTGATTTCTCACTTTTTGTCTCTCTGTCTCTGTCTGTCTGGTGAGCGTGCATGCCCTATAGCAAAAACCTCTTCAAAAAAAAAAAACACTACCATATCCTATTTTTCTTGTCAGTTTGATACTTACAGCAAATCTGTGAATCTTTAGCTCTTTGTATATTTTTTTAATTTAAAAAATTTAGAATTTTGACGTTCAAGATAGAGCGTGTGCATATACATGAGAAAGGAGAAAGAGAGACAGAGAGAGGAGCACCCCCCACGGCACTTGGTCATGCTGCATTCCCTTCCTCGAGTGCTCTAACCTGCCAGTATCCTGGGCATGCTGGTACGCTCAGCATGTTCTTCAGCCGACCAGGAAGGGGATTTTAAACTGTAGTTGGTACATAGCTTCCAGCTCTGCAGTCTAGTATGCTACTGATTATGCACAGAATCTGGGCCCGTTTGTCTGATTGTGTTTTCAAATATTTTCTGTAGATATTGATCCCAGGAATGGAATCCCAAATTTAACTCCAGGGGATAATCCATATATGTACCCAGAACAGAGTAAAGGCTTCTATAAAGCAGGATCAACTCTCCCGCCAGTAAATTTTTCACTGTAAGTATATGTTAATGATGAGTTATTTCGTAAACTTTGAAGGAATCCTGTCTCTCCTTACTATTTGTAAATTATATACATGTGGGGTTGGCAGGTGGCTTGGTAGTTAAGGGCACTGGACTCCCACATGGCCAACCATAGTCTGAGTCCTGGACCTGGTGGCTTGTTTTCTCACTTTCCCTCTTACCCTCTCTCTCATTCTGTCCTCTGTGGTCACATTAAAATAAATAATCAAGGGAACCAGCAGTTAGTGTAATGGCTATGTCGCTGGATTCCCATGTAGTCGACCGCAGTTCGCGTCCCGGACCCGGTGGCTTAGAACTCATGCCAGGCACGTGTGTGTGCATGCTCAAGATCCCGAGAAGAGAATGGAGGAGAAGGGATTGTGGCATGACAATCCCCCCTGCGGGGGGGTGATTTCTCGCTTTCTGTCTCTCTGTCTCTCTCTGTCTGTCTGGCGAGCGCATGCACCCTATAGCAAAAACCTCTCAAAAAAAAAATCAAGTTAGATACAATAATTCTTTAAAAAATTATATACATGCATATTTTAAACATTTATTTATTTATCTGTGTATTGTTGTGATTTTTATGACACACGCATATGTGCCCAGTGTGATTTTCAAGCTGCCAGGTCTGGGACCCAAACCGCTTAGCTGGCCATGTGAACTCCAGTGCCTTAAATTCCGTGCCATCTGCTGGCCCAGATGGCTTTTGGATTTTATAACAAATCAGATTGTTGGTTAGTGACTACTTTATGGGTTGACTTAAACTTGGAACTAAAGTTAGACCGAAACTATTGAGGACAATGGGAGAATCATTCAATTAAAGGAAAAATGGTTGGTATATTATATTTAAAATGTTATTTAGAAAATTAACCATGTGGGGCCTAACAGTAGTGTGATTTTTAAGGCTGGATAACCCATGACTGATTGTGTGGTTTGATTCTTGGACCCAGTGGCTTGAAAATCACACTGGGGAGACCAGCAGTTAGCGTGATGGCTGTGTCTCTGGACTCCCATGTAGTCGACCGCAGTTTGAGTCCTGGACCTCGTGGCTTAAACTCAGACTGGGTGCATGTGTGTGCATGCCCAAGATCTTGAGAGGAAAATGGAGGAGAAGGGATTGCAGTGTGGCCATCTCCTTGTGTGGGGGGGTGATTTCTTGCTTTCTGTCTCTCTGTTTGTGTTTTACGGTAGCCCACCACCCCATAACAAAAAAAAAAAAAAAAAGGAAAAAAAAGAAAAAGAAAATCACACTGGGCACGTGTGTGTGTATGTGTGTGCCCAAAATCCTGAGGGGAGACTAGAGGAGAAGTGATTGTGGCATGGCCATCCCCTGTTGGGGGTGATTTCTTACTTTCTCTCTCTGTATCTCACTGGTGACTGTGCATGTCCTACAGCAAAACTACAAAATTAAAAAAAAAAAAAAGAATTTAACCACATGGACTGAACAAGCTGGTGGTGTGGTGGTTAAGGTGTTTGGATCCCACACGGTTGACTGCACAGTTTGAGCCCCAGATCTGGTGGCTTGAAAAACATGTCGGGCATGTGTGCAGGTATGCCCAAAATCCCTAAAGGAGAGAGAAATAGGGGAGTAGGGATTATGGCCTGGCCACCCCCCCATGGGGGCTGCTTTCTCACAGCCCTCTACCCCCCTGCAAGCATAGGTGCCCTCTGGCAAATAAAAAAAAATTAACAATCTGAGATTTAATGATAGTGACTAAAAATGATCAAAAATAATAAAAATTATGGCCCTTACAGCTTTGAAACCTGAACCTAAAAATTAAAATCAGAATGTAAGACATGTTGAACATAATGATGCAGTTTTTGATTTCTTTGTTGTAGAAGCCATACCAGTTTATGCCTTTTTTGTTTTTCAGAGTGCCTTTTGAGAAGAAATTTGATACGTTTATTCCACTTGAGCCTCTTTCACAAATTCCCAAGTGAGTTCTCTCACCCTGTTTTATGTTTTCCCATCTTTGTGTAAGTGTCATTGTTTTCTCCTTGGAGGAGCCTGTAAACAAGCAACACCTAAGCACCTTTTGAATCCCAGTAGGAGGACAGGGCAATTTGTAAGGAGTGTATTTGGAGAGGTACATGGAAGTCAAGTGTCTATGGAGTCTGGCAGTTGGGATGATCACATAGTTGGTAGACATGATTGACAACTAGCAGATATCAATGTTTTGTGTGTGTGGTCATGCCAAAATCCTCAATCCTTTTTTCCTCCATTTCTCCATTCTGCCAGGATTTCAAGTATGCACATACATGTGCCCAGTGTATTTTTCAAGCTGCCAGGGCTAGGATTTGAACTATGGTTGACCCTGTGGGATCCAGCTCGCTGTACACTGGGCTTAACCATTGTGCTAAGGAACTGGCCCATCCTTTACCCATTCTTTTTTTTTTTTTTTTAAAGAATTATTTATATTTAATTTTATTTATCCATTCATTTATTTTAATTTGACCAGAGGGAGGGAGAGAGAGAGAATGAGAGAGAGAGAGAGAAAGAAAAAAATGAGAAAGCAAACCATGAGTCCAGGACTTGAACCATGGTTGGCCAGGTGGGAGTGTCCAGCACCTTAACCACCACGCCACCTGCTGGTCCGCCTTTGCCCATTCTTTTGCTTTTGAATCACTGTGTTTTTATTTATTTATTTATTTATTTATTTTTAAAGTCACAGGGAGACACCGTGAGACAGATAGAAGTGGAGAGAAAGAGACACAGAGTTGTCTCTACCCACTATAAATGAGCCTGGAGGGAAAATTCTCAGCAGAAAAATCTTCATTTTTTGGTCAAGGAAATGAATATTTTTTTTTATTAATTTTTTTTGAGAGGTTTTTGCTATAGGGCATGTGAGCTCCCCAGAAAGACAGAAACAGAGACAGAAAGCGAGAAATCACCCCCCGGGGGGATGGCCACGCTGCAACCCCTTCTCCTCCATTTTCCTCTCGGGATCTTGGGCACACACGCATACATACCAGGCGTGAATTTAAGCCACTGGGTCTGGGATTCAAACCGCGGTCGACCACATGGGAGTCTAGCAACATAGCCATACACCAACTGCTGGTCCTGAACCACTGTGTTTTAAGATCTGTCTTTTAGATATAGAATTAGATTTTCCTTTTTGAGACTATCTGAAAGTATTTTTCTTTAATAGATGAATTAAGGCCATTTGTGTTTATTAATTTGATAAATTTGACTCCATTTCTATCATTATTTTGATACATTCATTATTTGTTTTATATTTACTGTGAGTCTCTCATTATTATGTTTGATTGCTTCAATTAAAGTTAAGACATTCTTTCTCGGAGCTGGCAGGTGGCATGGTGGTTAAGGGCACTGGACTCCCACATGGCTGACCACAGTTTGAGTCCTGGACCTGGTAGCTTGCTTTCTTACTCTCTCTCTCTCACCCTGTCTTCCTCTGGTCAAATTTAAAAGCAAAATAAATAAATAAATAAAATTAAATAAAATAATTATTTACAAAAGTATATTTTAAAAAGACATTCTGAGACCAGCAGGTGGCATGGTGGTTAAGGTGCTGGACACTATTATATGGCTGACCATGGTTCGAGTCCCAGACCTGGTGGCTTGCTTTCTCATTTTCCCTCTCTTTCTCTCTGTCTCTCTCTGGTCAAATTAAAATAAATGGATGAATAAATAAAATTAATTCTTTTAAAAAAAGACATTCTTTCTCTTGATGTTTTGGAATACTCGTGTTTTTATTCTAGTGGTTCTTTATGTTGATATCTTTATATATTGCTCTGGGTTCTGCATTTCTTATTTGGGAGTCTACTATCTGGCTTGTCATCTTTAGATGATAACCTTGGCCATCAGACAGTGTTAAAACATGATGATCTGCGAGGCTGACCCATTTCAGAACATTCTGGGTTTGTTTCTGGAGGCTGTACACATGCCCATGACCTGGGGCTGGCTGGAAGTCATGGTATCAGGACTCTATTGTAAGTGCTGTCTCCCTGTCTCTGTCTCTCTCATTCATGGAATAAATAAATAAATAAACTTGGGACCAGCAGTTAGCGTAATGGCTATGTCGCTGAACTCCCATGTAGCCGACCGCGGTTCAAGTCCCGGACCTGGTGGCTTAAACTCATGCCAGGTGCGTGTGTGTGCGTGCCCAAGATCCCGAGAGGAGAAAGGAGGAGAAGGGATTGTGATGTGGCCATCCCCCCCAGGAGGTGATTTCTCTCTTTGTCTGTCTCTCTCTGTCTTTCTGGCAAGTGCACATGCCCTATAGCAAAAAACCTTTCCAAATAAATAAATAAATAAATAAAACTTAAAAAAAATGATAACCTTGACTCCCACCTACCTATTACCGATGTAGAAACCCTCTTCTTCCTTCTTGCCTGGATTTCCATACCTTGGCAGTTATAGCAGGGCATTTTCCAAATCACGGCATGTTTCTCCTTAAAAGCACAAGGGTTCTAGCTGCCAAAAGATAAGCCACTCCCCATCTCCCTGCTTTGACTCAGCCCAGCAGTTGTATTTGCTGCCCACTCTGAGCTCACATCCACAGTGAGCCCAGCACATGCCCTTGCAAGTTTCAGTGGACCTGAGGGACTCTGGCTGTTTGCATTTGTCAGGGTCCCAGCAGAAACAGAAAGCATTCTCATTGTAGTTCTGAGAAAGCTCAACAAAGGGTGTGTGGGCAGGGCAGGGAATGCACATGGTAGGGTGAGCACTGAGAGGCTTGTGACAGCGGGTGGCTCGACCACTTCTTGGTCTGAGCAGCTAGAAGGGGAATCATGGCTCACAGAGCAGTGAGAGCATTAGCCCTGGGAGAAGGGCTGCTCAAGAGGAGTTGCAACATGGCAGAATGCAGCCGCTGCCAGAGGTGGGGTGTCCTGGGACAGGGTACAAGTGGAGAGCTAGGTAAGAAATACCCCAATCTCAGGACCAGCAGATGGCATAATGGTTATGTCACTGGACTGTCACATAGCTGACCACAGTTTGAGTCCCGGACCCGGCAGCTTAAAACATATGCTAGGCATGTGTGTATGCGTGCCCAAGATCCCTAGAAAGTGGAGGAGAAAGGGTTGTGGCATGGCCATCCCGGGGGTGGGGGGGTAATTTCTCGCTTTTTGTCTCTTTGAAGTCCATAGCAAAAATCTCTTAAAAAAAGAAAAGAAAAGAAATGGCACCCCAGCCTCTCTCTTCTCCCTTTCTGATCTCCTGTTAGTGCCTCCTGTTAGCCAACCCCAGCGCCAAGGCTGGGGACAGAGAAGAGTCAAGGTGATGTAAACTGCAGATGTCCTCTGATAGAGAAAGGTAGAACAGAGATCTGGGTTTGGGGTGTGGGCAAAAGGGGAACAGCTCACGTGGTGTGTAATACAGTCTCCTAAATTGGAGATCTTCTTTACTTTTGGAGCACGCAGTGTTTTATCCACTATTTATAACATTTGTGAACTTTGCATCAGACCAATGAAACTCAGGGTGTTGTCTTTAAAAAGCCCTTCTGGGTGAAGGAGAAGGAGAATCGTTTGAAGAATGAGATAAGGGAAGTTGAGGAGCTCGACAATTGGCAGCCAGCAGTGCCTTTAATACACAGTTTACTCCCTCCTGGTGGGTTAAAACGCCTTCAGAGAATAGCATAAAAACTGGAGGAGTCCAGAAGAGCAGGCTTTGAGAGGCTTCACAATGGACTGGAGAGAAGGCAAAGGCTCTCCCGGAGTGGAGGTGTCTTCTGCCCCAGGTGGTCCCTTGGGCAGATGTCATGGCTGTGCTCCAAGGGTCTAGTGTGTTGGTGAGAACTGTCAGTCATGTAATGGAACACAACCTTTAACGCCATGCCTCTATCCACAGGTACTTTGGACTTTTCAAGACAATCCTGAGCAGAAACATGCATGCTCACAAAGCATGCACTGACTGCACTCTGGCGAATCTTTCAGTGGATGTTTTTTTGACAATGTGACTGTTTTAAATAAAATGTTTGGCTCTGATAAGGAATCACTGTGCTTTGGTTTTTAAAACCTTCTACTTTCTAACTTAAAGAAAAGTTGTGAGAATTGTATGATAAACACCCATTCTTCGTATAGGTTCTAAGATTGTTAACATGGGTCCAAATGTTCTCTTTCTCTCTCTCTCTCACATTGTTACTATTATTATTTTGCCGAGACATTTGAGAGTGGCAGATGTCTTAACTTTCATACCTACACACCTAAATACATCAACCTTTATCTCCTAAAGTGAAGGATATTCTCTAATGAACACCATACAGATATCATTCAGTATTAATTGACAAGATACTACTAATATTCATTTAGTTGTATTCCTTTAGATTCAGTTTTCTAAGGATGTCTCCAAACAGTGGTAAAATGCAGACATTATGTTAGTCTGTTCTGGCTGCTCTCACAAAATACCATAGACTGGGTGGCTTATAAACAATAGGAATTTATTTCTCACAGTTCTGGAGGCTGGGAAGTCCAAGCTCAGGGGTGTGTGGTATGGGCCTGCTTTCTGGTTCATGGATGGTGCCTTCTTCTTTTTTTTTTTTAATTTAAATTTATTTATTTACATTCATTCACTGTACATCATTACAATATACAAAATGAGATTTTCCATCCAGAGTACACTGTATATTGGCTCAATCAAGTACATCAACATACATTTTATCATCAACAAATAATTTTCCATTTCTTGTTTCCTATATGTTTTGCTTTTTTTTCCTCATCCTTGATTCCCTATCTCTTACCCTCTACCATCTCCCACTCTTCTCCCACATTGTCTCTGGTACCTATGTTTGCCTTCTATTCTGTTTTCCCCCCACATTTTATTGAGTCACTAAAGATCTTAATTAATCTAAATATTTTCATAGCAAGCACAGCTGATATATACATTTCTATGAACACAAGTCCAAATTTAGGCATAAGCCTCAATGAGTAGAATGAACATCCTATAAAGTAGCACCTAGCTGGGGCTATATATCATACTG